ACAGTACATCATCACACCTGTACAGTGCAACAAAGCCAATGTAAATGTGTTAATTAGAGCTTGTGTTCTGAAAAAATACAATTTGAATGTAACTCCTGATGTTAACAATTGTTACTGTTTGTTACCAACCTTTGATATTAATTATTTCAGTTAATAAATGTTGCTGAAATTTTATATTGTTATAATTGTTCCTAACAGCTTTAACCAAATTGTGTTTTGTTAATTTGTGATCTTACTGCGGTGAAATGTATAGATTGTTTTATTATGTTTCATGCAGTTTTGGTATTGAAACTAGTATTAGTATCATATTGGAATATTATGAGTTGGATGATTTTAAATGAAGTATAATTAGAATAAAATAATTAAAATTACAACTGCTTTCATTTCTTTATTTCCTTCATGTTATTCTTGTGTGACTTAACAAAACTACAGTGATTTAGTGGTTACATTTTCAGAGACATCACTGAAGGTGATATTTAAAGGGCCGAAAAATTTTTATTTAGAAAATAAACTTTCTATTTTGAATGTGTTGTCCATGGAACCAAAAAGTGGCAGGGGCATCTTCCTAAAGTCATGCCACTTCTCTGTACAATTTAAATGCTTATAATAATAAAAGAATCTTAAAATTATCCTGGAGCATACAATATTAAAAGAACACCCAAACAGCAAGGAAAAATAATCTTCACGCAGGTAACCATATAGTCTAGCTTGAGCACCTCTCCTGACTTCCCTGGTTTTTTGTTCAAGCAATTTATCATGATCACTATTGCAGTCTCGATTAAAAATTATTTTTGTTTTCGCCCGAAGGAAATACATGGAATGTCGAAATCTGTAATTTGTATTATATCATCACAAAAGTTATCATATTCAAACAAATGCTTCAAGGGACCAACTACCATATTTATTACATATAGAGCGCACCAGAAAAAAAAAATAATGTTAAGTTACCGGTATACTAATTGTTTAAAAAAGGGTAACAATTAAGTTACTGGTATATTAATTGTTAAAAAAAAGTAAAATTAAGTTACCGTAATATTAATTGTTTAAAAAAGTAAAATTAAGTTTCAATAAGTTACCGGTACCGTACATTAATTGTTATAAAAAAAGTAAAACAAAGAGAATAAAAATTGCAACAAATAGCAGCCTGTCACAAAAAGAGCCACTCTGGAAGCCCAACCCTACCCCACCCAATTTCCAGGACATGATTGAAAAGTAATGTGGGGAAAGTAATTACCTGGCCCTCCCCCACCCGGGGCCACCCAGCCTATATCTATCTAACCTATTCTAGTACCGGTACTAGAAGGAAAAGTGTATGGGCATAGGGTTGGGAGGGGGGGGGCTCATTTCAGGTGTTGATAGGGTTTGGGAAATGGGCTCAGTGAGCCCCTCGCTTGAGCATTGAAGCATTGTCTTAATACTAAATTTAAAATGCAAGGTTGCTCTGGTACCGGTACATGAATATATTATGTCCATCTTTCTGCCCTTAATTGACAAGCAAGGGATGCGATGCTTATGGAAATGTAAGTTTCCTTGACCATGGCCATGTGGTGTTTACACTTATCATTATTTGTTTTTAAAAAATAGAAATGAGTAATAATTAAATATCAGATCTAATAGTCTAATAATGTTGTTTACATAATTTATCATTCAAACTATTTTTTTGTTTAAAATACTTCATTGACAAACGATAATAAATGAAGGGCTGCGTTCAAGCTGTGTGAAGGAAATATAAAAAACCTTGCTCCACTATTTTCTTCACTAACTAATGAGTTTTAAAAACACATTTATATTTTCGTTCAAATTACAATAAATACAACACAACAAAAAGGCGGCTAACTTCATTATAGTAGAAATGCTGAACGGAAATGACAGAAAGATATAATTATAATAGTTATTTTTTATTTTGTGGATTATTTTAAATGTGCATATTTTCACTTTAAACATATAATGTAAATAGGTTCTAAATAATATAAAAATTAATACAGGGATCAAATACTGTTTTTGTAGAAAAGTTTAATACATTTTTATGCTGGTCATTAAAAAAAAGTTGTATTTAGAATAGTGTGACCAAATCATGAACTGGAAAAAAACGGGACACACCCAGGGAGCAGGGAGGGGGGGGGGGTTACCCTCCAGCTAAAGAGGGGTCCGGGGGTCTCCACCGGAAACTGTTCATTGAAATATGCTCATTTTAAACTATTTTGAGACCTAGAAATCTTTTTAAATTTACCTTCACTTTTGTAATTTAATTTAAACTCCGAGGCATATCATAAACGAAAACAATAAGTTGAATAAGTTTGCAGTGAATACTTATTTATTTATACACATTTTACAGCATAATAGGCCCTACAACACAAAAAATTTAATTTCTCTAGTCTAGGATTTAAATTGGGGATATTTGGCTGTTGTACCAGCCATTGTTAAAACCTACTTCTTATATAATGTAAAGTTATAAAAACTAGAACAGTCCATTTCGAAATTTTAGAGAATTTGCAGAAAGGGTCTCCAGTCTCCACTCCCATCTTTCGTCCGTCCATTCTTTCAACATCAATATGTAAAGCATGATACCTCTAAAAGAGTAAGTCTCCTAAAATCGTGAAGCTCCCTAGAAGCGTGAGGCCCTGGGCCAGCAGTGCCCAGTGGGTCCACTTGCCCCCCCCCCCCCGGATTGATTGGATAAAAAAAAAATTAGACAAAAATAGACAAAAAATGTATTAAAGTAAAGAGAAAATAAAGAGAAAGTAACTAAGCTGAAGTCCTGTCCGTTCGTTCACCATACAAATACGCTAAAGTAAATTAAAACTACATTAAAACATTACTAAACATTTTTGCCCCCCCCCCCTATAAAGTTATCCGATTTGTTTGCCCCCCCCCCTAGAAAGTTTTCTGCGGGCGCCCATGATGATGCCTTAAGACGGCACGGGGGGAGGGGGTGATAAAATGGTTTGAAGAAGGAAAATTGGCTTGCGAGGCTCCCCTTGATGTGTGAGGCTTCCCTAGAAACATGAGGCTCCCCTAGAAGAGTTAGGCTTCACTAGAAACGCGAGGCTTCCCTAAAAGTGTGAGGCTCCCCTATAAACGTGAGGCTCCCCTAGAAGTATGAGGCTCCCCTATAAGTGTGAGGCTCCCCTAGAAACGTGAGGATCCCCTAGAAGTGTGAGGCTCCCCTAGAAACGTGAGGCTTCTCTAGAATTATGAGGCTTCACTAGAAGCGTGAGGCTCCCCTAGAAGTGTGATGCTCCCCTTCCATCCAGAGGGGCTCTTTTTGTGACTGGCTGCTTTTTGTTGCAAATAGAATCGCGAAAACCTGGGGAATATCCCTCTTGTGCCATGCCTTATGGCCGTACTGCCGAGCTCACCACGGCGGGGGGAAAAGGGTAGGGGGGGTTACTTAATATTTATAGAATGTTTTTCTTACTTACATAACTATCAACTACCAATAATTTTTTGACAGGGAAACAAATATATGACACATTTTTTTTTTAAAGTTATGACTAAGAAATAATTGTTAATTAAATATTTTTGTTAAAAATTACGTTGAAAATATATGTTTTTAAATAAGTTAACTTCCATTTTGTTTGTTTAGGGCACAATCTGTGGACGGCTAATTGACCAACTTGCCGTCAACCTATCGACGTGGCATATAGACTTCATAGCCTGTGGCCACACATTCCATTAAATTTCTAGTCCCACCCCACGACCCCAACCACAATAAATATTTTTTTCCTGTTTTTCTAGGGGACGATGAAGGAAATACGACGCCACTAATTTCATGAGATAAAATTCCCGATTTCTGCGCTAAATGAGATTCTTAAATACAAATATAGCCAGTGCAATTAGTGCCTAACATTGTTTTATATATATATATATATATTTTGGGGTGTAAATAGTTGGTCAATAAATCTGCGGTGTAAAAGCGGGTGGAACATTAGAATCTATAATAAAACGCCGTATGTAGTTTGTCCTTCATCGGTTTAGATATTTGTGGGTGAGCGTAATCGGCGTAAAGATTTAATGTGTAGTTTGTGCTGATGTTAATGGTCAGGTTTTAAAGACATTGTTGAATAGTTTTATACCTATGTTAATTGTCAGGTTTTAAAGACATTGTTGAATAGTTTTGTGCTGATGTTAATGGTCAGGTTTTAAAGACATTGTTGGATAGTTTTGTGCTGATGTTAATGGTTAGGTTTTAAAGACATTATTGAATAGTTTTGTGCTGATGTTAATTGTCAGGTCTAAAAGACATTGTTGAATAGTTTTGTACTTATGTTAATTGTTAGGTCTTAAAGACATTATTGGATAGTTTTGTACTTATGTTAATGGTCAGGTCTTAAAGACATTGTTGAATAGTTTTATACCTATGTTAATTGTCAGGTTTTAAAGACATTGTTGAATAGTTTTGTGCTGATGTTAATGGTCAGGTTTTAAAGACATTGTTGGATAGTTTTGTGCTGATGTTAATGGTTAGGTTTTAAAGACATTATTGAATAGTTTTGTACTTATGTTAATGGTCAGGTCTCAAAGACATTGTTGAATAGTTTTATACTTATGTTAATTGTCAGGTTTTAAAGACATTGTTGAATAGTTTTGTGCTGATGTTAATTGTCAGGTCTAAAAGACATTGTTGAATAGTTTTGTACTTATGTTAATTGTCAGGTCTTAAAGACATTATTGGATAGTTTTGTGCTGATGTTAATGGTGAGGTTTTAAAGACAGTTTTCAAAAGTGTTCAACAAAGATTTACAGGAAACAGCCAGATAGCCCAAAGTCTTGCATGAAACTTCCGTATGTCTCAGCAGTACAATTTGGCGATTCAACGCGAGGTGAGGGCAACTAGAGTTCGCGAAGAACTACGCGATATTGCTTTCGTAATATTGCAACGTTGTAATTAGAATAAATTCCTGTACAATTTTTGTGTTTGTTTAATACTTCTTTTGTCAACTTCTCCTTTCACTTTTCATTTACACTGACAATCATGTGTCATAACTTTGCTGAAAGATTTAAGGCTTTATTTTGGAGGGAATGGGGTAGTTACTTGTCTCCACCATTTTGAAATTTCTCCATGGACCGGTCAAGAGCTTCATGAACTCAGCTTTAAATTTAGAGCTCATGGCGTAATATACCAGTAGGTTGACACTTGAGTTGACAGTCTCCAGGAAGAAGGCCACGCTGTGCAGCATCTGAAACAGTTCGGCGAACTTCCCCGTGGACGTGAAACCGGGCACAAAAATGGACGCCGCCAGTAAACCGTTGCTCGGCATGTTACAGACGAGGAAAATCATCGTCAGCGACGTTATCATCTTCGTCAACTTGAGCTCTTTTGCGGAATGAATTGATTTTTTAAGTTTCTTGCCATTCCGATGTTCCGGTGTTGTCTTCGGTCTCAATCTGATTAACTTTTGGGGCGATCGTTTGATTGGTTGATCGCCAGACTGAGCGTGTTGTCGCCATTTTTGTGAGCGCTCGAGTTTTATTATCAATACCACCGCGCAGCCGATGATGAGGATTACATTGATAAAAGGTAGAGAAATAAAGAGAATTGCGTTGATGGCGGCGGCGCTGTTCAACCGGTCCGTTAGTATCACCATCGTTAAACGAGTCAAGTTGAGATTAGGATTAGATTTCATTTGAAACTCTCTGGGATAATAAATGAGCATGTTGCTGGCCAATAGGACGGCGAAAATTGTAAAGGTCATAACCCCGGTGTTTCTCGGAGTGAAAATGGACTTAACCTTTAAAGGGAAGGCGACACATGCGCACCGTTCGAGAGAGATGAGAGCTGTCAGCCAGCTGGTGATACGCGAGAAGATAACCCTGGGGTAGCTTGCTGTCATGATCATGAGGCCGAAAGGCTCCACGGGGAAGGTGACCGGGCCGAATCTGGTGATGCCTTGACATATGACGCACCAAGACATCGTGACGTCACAACAGAGATCGGACACGGCGAGGCCCAGAAGCGGGATGTTGACACTGTCTTGTAAATCTGAAATAATCCGACAAGAGGTTTTAGCCGTAGATACTTGAGATGTCGTTTAGAATACTGATATGACAAAGTGCATGGCCCCATTTGTACAAAATCACTTTATATTTTATGTTTATTGATGGTGAGGCCTTAGTTGTCTTAACAAAGGGATCAAGTATTGGCTGCATCTTCAGTTCTGAGCTATAACAATAAGGGCACAGTTAGCTATAATAGCATTTAGGGAGCAGTTAATTATATAGCTAGGGCGCAGTTATCTATAGCATTTAGGGTGCAGTGATATATAGTATTTAGGGCGCATTTATTTATAACAATAACATTTAGGGTGTATTTATCTATTAGGCCGTAGTTATCTGTAGCATTTAGGGCACAGTTAATATAGTATTTAGGACGCATGTATCTATAACATTTAGGGCGCAGTTATCTATAGTCTATAGCATTTAGGTCGCAGCAACTAGCGAAAAGGAGTTCTCTCATGACAGCTTAATGTCGCTTTAACACATATAAACCAACAAACTACAGAACTTGTAAATTCTATCATTACCTAGTCTCACAAACACCACTGTACACAGAATGTTACTGGCGATCCCCAGCAAACTGACCGACCCGGTCAGGAAATAGGACACTGTAATCTCAAATATCCATCGTATGAAGCTGGTTATTGCAGTCTCGGTGTACCCGGGGGTAGGCGCTGCCGTAGTTTCGAATGAGTTGCTGAAATGTGTTTCCTCGCTGCCCAGCAAATGGAAACCATATGAGCTCGGCCTGGACATGTCGTCAAACACCCGACGGATCAAGTTTAGAATTTTGCTTCAATTTTCAAGCAATGTGTTTTAACCATAGCAGCAGAAATGGAACATTTAAATAAAAAAAAATTAGACTAATAAATTATTTTAAACATTTATTCGCGTGGCGAAGTAGCAAACATTCACGTCATCTTGATTCTGGACGATCATTTATCTAGATTCTAGATTTCTAGGCGATCATTTAAAAAAAAAAAAAAAAACTGAAGATAAAAAATGTAAACAATGCATAGTTGAACAATAAAAAAGATTTTTATTATTTTTTTTTCTTCTAAGTTTCAATTACATTATAACATATCTCGTCGTAACCTTTTCATTTTTAATTGTGATCCTATGCCTATTATTTTAGCGTGAGAAAAGTGTTCCAGGTTAAGCTAATTAACTCAACACTGATTAAACTGAGAGTCAGAATTAAACTCAACAAATAATTAAATGTATGGTAATTTTTTAATTTTTTTACAGTATAACTAGCAATTAAAAATGTTTCTAGGTGTAATTATGTATGATCTCCAAGTTCAATTTGTTGAGTTAAAACAGTTGAAAACCGGGAAAGCGAACCACAATTTAATTATCAACATTACTTTTTAATTTTTGTTTAAAGAAATAACGACGTGGCATTTAAATTGAAATCTACCCGAAGAAGCAAGAGATTGATTTACTGCGTGCGTGACATAACGAGAGTTAGTTCAATTTCAGATGATAGCTTGATAGTTAGATACAGTCCGCGAATAAAAAAAAACAAAAAAAACAGTTGAGCCTTCTCCGTGCCATGGTTTAATGAAGAGGTTCTCAAGAGAATATCGTACAAAATAACTTTGTGTATTTATCGGCGTATTATCGCACTTATTCTCCCTGAAAATAGGGCGCATATGATGTGTGCGTGTTATACGCAGATATAATGTTAAGTTTTTTTTCCTGAAATTTCCTTCTTGAAATGAGGTGCGTATTATACAAGGGTGCGTATTATACAAGGGTGCGTATTATACAAGGGTGCGTATTATACGCCGATAAATACGGTAATCTACATACATGTTGTTGTTTTTTTTTAATATTTCCTGTAGGGCCTACCAACCAGATAAAGCTATCTAAATATTTTTATGAGTTTTGTTCTTGTTGTTTTATCACTATTTACCCCGTTAAACAACTTAATGGCCAATTGTGTGAGACTCGTTTTGATGTGTGCCCTTATTATTGTGGTTGGAAGACAGGAGGCTTGTACGCATTATGTTACATTTAAAATCTTTATTTCAGATGAGATCGACGACTTTTGTCATCTCCAGAGGTTCTCAAGTTTCCATGAACAAACTTCCTTCGTAAAATTAACATTGAACACAGTTTTTTTGTATCTGTGAACTCTTTATTAGACACGTTAATACGTCACACACTTCACAACAGTGTTACTTATTAAAAATGAGTTTTTCTTCTTCATTGTGAAATGTTCATTGTGTCAAAGAACAAGTGACACACTTCACAGCCAATCGTTGCTCCCACACCTCGTGGCCAGCCGACCGCCGCCATATTTGTTGTGAAAGATTTGAACTTTGCTTTGAAACTCCGAGATATTGATGTAACAGCCCTGTTTCAATGAGGATAGAATACTAAATACAGACATTAATGTGACAGCACTGTTTCATTGAGTGTAGAATTACAGACATTAATGTAACAGCCCTATCTCAATACGGATAGAATTACAGAATAGACATTCAGAATGACTAGATGCTTTATAAGTTGTTTCACCGTTCAACAGTTATCCATAGACTATAAGTATTGCAACATACTTGCAGAAGCCGCTTGCCGTTGTCCGTGAACGCTGCCCTACCATGCAGAACTCTTCTGTTATTGAAAGTTATCATATCTCCAGGTTGCAGCTTATGTTTGAACTGGAAAATATTTGAAAATCTTCACAAGAATAATTTCAAAAGATCCCTCAACCAAATTATTTCCATTATATACTTTATGTCGATATTTAAATTTTAGTACAACTTTAAACAAACTTGACTCTTCAACCGTTTATTTTGAAAGCCATTCATCAATTTTCTTTACAAAGGGAATGCAGGTGAATAATTATGAATCAACCACGCGCACGCTCTAAATGCAATACATCTTGTCAAGATTTATGTTAAAAATACATCATTTGATCAGTATAATAGAGCAGGCCTGCACAACTCAAAATGTAAGGCGGGCCGTAATGCATTATGAAAAACGTGTGCGGGCCAAAGGCTAGGATAGGACTTGTGCGGGCCAAAAAAATATAGGTCAGGGGGAAAGTTATTAAGAAAATAATAAGAATAACGAGTTTTTCCGATACCTCGCGGGCCACAGAGTGGGTGCTGGCGGGCCACATGCGTCCCACGGGCCGTATGTTGTGCAGGCCTGTAATAGAGGTTTGAGGCAATACCTCGTGGTGCTTGTCATTACAACTGTAACGACTAATATATTTTTTTTCTAAATGCCTGAGCCCACCTAAAATTTTTATTTAAAAAAAAAATTAACAAAAGAAAATGTGAAGGTTTGTGACAAACTTATTCATGCTATAGACTCAGCGTCAAATGAACCCCATTTTAAAGGTAGCGATATCACAACAAATACAACGTTTTCGGTTAAGAACTAATGTTAACAATGAATTGGTGCCTTACTCACCAGTGAATGACTGCAGTGAACCATTGTGTACAACTTCTTGTAAGCCTTGTAAAACGGTTCGATAAATTCCTATTCAGAAAATGAGAAATGCTTCAGCTGCGTTTAACTTAAGTATATGCATCTTTCCTTATAATTCCTCACAATTGAATCATGGTTCAAAAAAATGGACGCCATTTCAAAAAAAAAAAAAAAAAAAGCTTTGTTACATTTTGAATTTTGTGTAATATTATTTCCTTGCACGTTATCTGCCTCCTGAAGTTTCCATGCTTTTAAAATTAGAAATGCTTCAGCTGCGTTTAACTTAAGTATATGCATTTTTCCTTATAATTCCTCACAATTGAATAATGGTTAAAAAAAATGGACGCCATTTCAAAAAAAAAAAAAAAAAAGCTTTGTTACATTTTGAATTTTGTGTAATATTATTTCCTTGCACGTTATCTGCCTCCTGAAGTTTCCATGCTTTTTAACTTGTCTTGTAATGGATTCGTGCTAAATCTATGCACTAATTATTGACACCACTCATTACCTCTGACACCTGCAGGGGTCCGACCAACATGGGATGCCAATAAACGCTAACAATCTGAGTTTTAAAAAGAACAAACTGTTAAAACTCTTAGTGGTAAACTCCGTTAATAATATTATAACAGTGTTGTCCTGAATTCGCCTTAAGACATATCCACACACTGGGCAGGAAAGCTGAGTTTTCGGGCTACAATAGTTTACAGAGGATCTGTCATTTGTATTTTTAAGCCTTAATTCTCAGCACCTCAAGCCCTTCCTACTTTTCCCCCATGAATCCCCCCAACCCCCCACCCCCACCCCAAAAAATAAAACAAACAAAACAACAAAACAACAACAACAAAAAAAACGAAAATCATTCCACTATATGCCACAACAGCGGTGCGCTGGAACCGGTTCGGACTGTTAAGGTTGTCAAATTTTGACTATTTTACCGAACTGGTTGTAACATAAGTCTAAATATATTTTTTTTTAATACAAAGAAATAGACGTATTTTATGTGACGGAAAGTGACAGAACCGGTTATTAACTTACTTCATCTTTATGATTCAGAGCAATCAGGGGCCTCTGGATGCAGACGTGAGCAGGAAATTCTCTGGAGGGAAAAACATATTTTACATTATAGCTTAGTTCACAAAGTGGATCACTTGTCTTCTCAATAAAATGATGTCCTTCAGTGTATTTTAAATTATGTAAGTCGCGCTCGTGCCTAGTACCGGTTTTATGGACAGGTGATATTGGTGCTATAGGCGAATAGGCGATAAAGGTGATATAGGCTATATATGCGGCTGCTAAGCGCGGCATTTTTCAAGAGGCAGAAATTCCAGCAATAGAAGAATTTAAGAGAAAATTTTGTATTATAGTATACGCGTTGCGTCTCTCTTTCCATAAGTTGATTAGTTTTCCGGACACCACACCATATGGTCATCAAATCTCCCACACGCACACACCTGTCTTACCCCATTATAATTATTCTCAGAATCAAAGTTGGCACGACCTTCTGTAGTAGGTAATTTTTTTAGATGTGCTCATATTCTATGCTTTAATTTTTTGTTGTTTTTTCTTTGAGTTGAAAGACTTAGAGCAAAATTGGATGCTAGTGTTGTCCTGCAAAATCTGTTGAGCCTTAAAGTATGTAAGATTAGTTTATGTACACCACAAACTAATCTTACATACTCTCATGCAGTCATATTTTTCCCTAAGAAATTTTAAACTTTAAAAATAAGTTGGCCAGATGAGTTTTTCGTCCATGTTGTTGGTTAGTTTCCGCGTTTAAAAGTTAAATAATGCAATCGTGTATTTCATACGTTCCCGCAAGCAGCCGGTGTTTTGATTGATGGCATTGGAAGACATACTTGATAGTGTTTGGCTCATTTGTTAAGTCAGTATTCCTCAACGTTACCCGGGGAACAAGACCACCATTTCGAGTCCCACGTGGGCAGACAAGGGACATGCATGGTACCTGCCGGAATAAAAACAGCACCTACAGGGCTGCCAACTGTGACTTTCCACAGTTGGAAGTAAAGGAAGAGACATGGTAGGCATTATGATTACAAGTTGCCGCTATAAATGGATATGAGGCAAGAGGCTAAGGTGGAAGCCTCTAGCCGATGATGCTAGTTACGCAGCCCTGGGGGAAGCTGCTCCCAGGCTACCTTTTCGTCTCAGCTACTTCGCGAACTAGTTGCGAGGTGGAAACCCACTGTAGATCCCCTCTTAAAGGGCGTCTGACGCTTCCCAGGAATGGGTGGAAGAAGGTATTAGGACGTTAATGTACCATCCCGACTCCCTGGGAGAGTCGGCTGCGGACGCCTTAAACGCAGCGTTTTTGGTCGACCGGACGTCACCGGGCAGGAAGGGCCTCCATTTGCAAATCAGATCGAATGGGTGCGGATGGGGGGTGGTCTAGGCCAGGGGAGGTCCCTTGTGTGCCGCCGCACGGTCAGGCGTCGGGGGGACCCAGTGTTTGGGCCACCTGGAGGTGCGTTGGGGAGGGCATTAAGAGCTCACGCTCGACGGCCCGACGACGCCATTTCCCAACTGAACATTTATGATGCTTTACATCATGCTTTGATTCTTCCCCTGCTGGTGCCCTAGCATCATGCTTTAATTCTTCCACTTTTCGTGCCCTAGCAACATGCTTTGATTCTTCCACTTTTCGTGCCCTAGCATCATGCTTTGATTCTTCCACTTTTCTTGCCCTAGCATCATGCTTTGATTCTTCCCCTGCTGGTGCCCTAGCATCATGCTTTGATTCTTCCACTTTTCTTGCCCTACCATCATGCTTTGATTCTTCCCCTGCTGGTGCCCTAGCATCATGCTTTGATTCTTCCACTTTTCTTGCCCTACCATCATGCTTTGATTCTTCCCCTGCTGGTGCCCTAGCATCATGCTTTGATTCTTCCACTTTTCTTGCCCTACCATCATGCTTTGATTCTTCCCCTGCTGGTGCCCTAGCATCATGCTTTGATTCTTCCACTTTTCGTGCCCTAGCATCATGCTTTGATTCTTCCACTTTTCGTGCCCTAGCATCAAGCTTTGATTCTTCCACTGCTCGCGTAAAAAAATATTATAAGGCTAAACATGATGAAAGTAAAGTCAAAGATTATGTATATTCTCAAAGTCATGTGATTACTAGACTCACAAACGCATGACTCATTTAAAACCTTCTTTTTAAAATCATTTGTTGTTCCCTTACTTTTAAAATTCGAAATATATCAATAAAAACATGATGCTTCTTTATGTCGGCTTGCTCTACGGCTGATTGAGTCAATGGATGAACACAAGTTACACAAATCCTTATCACTGTGCTACTCCCGAAGACTACGATTCCGTACATCATTTTGGGTGTTCGATGGGTTGCTTGGTGGAATCCTGCAATTATGACCATGCCGTCTCTCGTGGTTTACTAGTAAGGATTTCGTTTGGCTTCTTAACTTTTTTAATTGGATGGCGTCATTGGAAAGCAGATTTTATTCATCTTTTGTAATTGGTCTGTAAAATATCCGTCTACCACTCCGAGGCTCTCGTTATTTCCCAGTACTCTGATACATAAAGGAGAACACTCGAGACATTTTAAACTTATACTTATAACATTTCTGATGCTGCTTGTGGATGCTCAGCTTATTGAAACTGCTTATGGATGTCAGGGGAAAAAAAGCCTATTTTACCTTTAAGATGTCTGTGTTGATTTCTTTCTTACAGTGATCAATGTAGTCACATGGTTGCTTACGGTATTCGTCATTTTTGGGAGTAGTGGGACAAGTACTGTTTACTGATTTAAAACACATTTCCCTCCACGTGTCACCTATTTTAAAACTGTCATTTTCTCCTCAGTTTATCTTCAATAAATCCAACCACGTCCATGTTTAAAAGCATTCCAACCTGTTGTAAGCCACGGTGTGCGCACAGCTCGGAATCTTGGTCAGCGTGTGGAACAGATCGGGAGACTCATCTCTCAGTTTGTGGGCCACTCGGTGCAGGTCAATGAACGTGTTTTCACCGCCTTCTACGTGTTTATCGAACCTATAACACATTTTAAGAAATGATAGGCTTTTATTTTTTTTTAACGCTATTTTCTTTGCAATGTCAATCACGCACATCACTGTATAATGTATGTATCTCAAGCAGAGGAGTCAATGTCAAGTTATTTTTAAATTGAAAAAAATGATTGCTACCGGTATAAACGTATATGGCAGGTGTGATCACGACAGGCCTCGCGAAAGGCTTTATGGCAGGTGTGATCACGGCAGGCCTCGCGAAAGGCTTTATGGCAGGTGTGATCACGGCAGGCCTTGCGAAAGGCTTTATGGCAGGTGTGATCACGGCAGGCCTCGCGAAAGGCTTTATGGCAGGTGTGATCACGGCAGGCCTCGCGAAAGGCTTTATGGCAGGTGTGATCACGGCAGGCCTCGCGAAAGGCTTTATGGCAGGTGTGATCACGGCAGGCCTCGCGAAAGGCTTTATGGCAGGTGTGATCAC